GGCTTTTAATCACATAATTAGGTTCAATCCTTATTCAAAGTGTTTCTTATTCACATAGCTTCTCTGTCATAGAGTATATTCACATTCACTAATTCGAAGTTCATATTCACATGTTCAAGGTTTATATTTTCATAACACACAGTCATAAGACATAGTTTGTAAAAATGGAAATTGAATAAAACATATAAATAGAACATAAAATAAATATAAAGTTTTCGATTGAAACACTGAAGTTGACTTATCACAAGCATTCCTCAATTCTATTACGAAAAAGAGAAGTTGCACTCACCTTTGCCTCATTAAAGTCTAATCCAAATCCTTTCAAGTCGATATTTGAAATGACAATCTGACTGGAATTCAATTATGTTTAATCACTACACAAACAATTCTAGAATCAATATCGATCTTATCTCAATTATATCGAATCATAATAACTTGATATACAAGAAACCCTATATTTCATTTCATGCTTAGAGATATCGATAATCCTAAGGGTATCGATACCACCCTTCAGGGGTATCGATACCTACACATATACCGATACCGAATTTACATTCAAAGTTGCAAGGGTACTGATACCCCCTCAAGGTACCGATATACACTTAGCATTCGATGTTTTAAGGGTATCGATAACCTCCTTAAGGTACCGATACCCATCCCTCAAGGTATCGATACCACTCTCAACAGGTATTGATACAACCCTTACAATTACTCCTATTAAACCCAAGAGGTATTAGTACTTGTTCATAAGGGTACTGATACCCTAAGCCCAGAATGACCATTTCCATCTCGAAAACACATGAAAATCTACCTAAAACTCTCCTAAACACATACTTTAAGTTTATAAACTCACCTTTATACCTTCAAACCAACTTGTACACATTTATAACTCTCAAACATCCCAAATTCTCATTTAAACACTTGAATCTTCAAAATCAACTAAATTTTCAAACATGATATTAACCAATTCTAACACTTCTAACCCTTCAATTAGACTATTGACAAGTCAAATAGCTCATTAATACTTAAAAAACTACTACATATCAATGTTTCATCTAAAACCCCATTTTACAAATCCATCTCTAAAACACTCATTTTGTTAATTTGATGCAATATAAGCTTTCCTTAAGCATATATACTAACCAAACTTCCTTTATCAACCAAAAGATAAAAGTAAAACTGAAAAATTCACATTCTTACCTTGAATATGATCTCACGTAGAAGAAGAAAAGAGAAGGAAATGCTTCCAGACTTTGCTTTACTTTCTCCCCAAACCCACGTGCACATCTCCATTAAAAGGGGGATAAAATCCCTCTAGCAAAAGACCATTTTACCCTATTCATTAAACCAAAATTTACATTAACCCTATACATAAATTCCACTATAAATCCTTGAGTTTGTAGATTTATTCTAATTCAAACACTGAGTTTAGAAATTCTTACAATTTGGTCATTATCTCGATATTTGGGATGTTACGTTGGTAATTGGGTCATTAACTTGGCAAGACACCCCCGTATTTTCAAATGTTTGTAAGAAGGTTTTCGACCTTTCCATAATTCATATGTTGTCTTGTCTTTTTCTTTTCGGGGTACCTTATTTGAAAGATAGTTAACTGAAAGGATAACTTCTCCCACATGTTCTGTGATAACCTAGAACTGCCTAACAATGCATTAATAATTTCTTTTAGAGTCTGATTTTTGCGCTCGACTACTCCATTTGATTGAGGAGAATATGGCGGTGTTACTTCATGGATAATTCCATGTTGTGAACAAAATTCACCGAATGGTACAACATATTCACAACCACAATCACTAATTGCCACTTAATCTTTTTATTAAGTTGGTTTTCAACTTCATATTAATAGAAAACAAATTTCTCTATAACATCACTTTTGCTCTTTTAGCAAATACGCATAGCAATACTTTTATCATCACTAGAGGTAATAAAATATTTATTATCACTTATATGTGCCATTATTATGAATTTTAAGAACTTAACCACTAAAATTTCCTTAGTGTCAGCATCTTCCGTTTCGTATTTATGGTATGATGTCATCCATAATTCTTTAGTCATTTTAAACATTGCACACTTCATAACATGCATCAGATAAGGCTTTGAGAATGTGATTACATCTTAGAAAACTATGTTTTCCAAGCTTTGATTGAAGACATTCAAGAAATAAAGTCAATAATTTATTTCTTTTTACAAGATAAAATCATACTTGATTCTTAAGAAATAAATATAGCAATTTAATTTCTTCTAAAAAACAGAATCATACAATATTCTATGAAACTACAAGATGAAATCGATCTAAATTTCCAAGAAAATAAATTTAATGTTTTATTTCCTTTTACCAAACAGAATCATATAAGATTCATAGGAAAATAAATTCAACAATTTATTTCCTTTTCAAAGTTAAAATCAACGCAAGATTCTAAGGTGAAATAAATTCAACAAGTTATTTCTCTTTTTCCAGTGTTATATCTTCCGAAACAAATATACCAAGGCAACCACATTCTGATTAACAACTATAAATAAAAGGAACTAATTCTTTAACTTTGACAACCCAATGTTCAAGAGCCTTTAATTAAACTCTGAATTTGTTTCTATCTATCAAAATTTCTCAAAAGAAATTAATACTACAATGTTTTCAAACACTAATCATAATTATCATAACAGCTTATAATAATTATAAATATCAAAACGATATTCTTTACTTATGTCATATTTAATATTCTATATTAAAAGGTCATGATTAATGCTTACGCATTTTAATATGGTAACAATATTTACCTCATCCTCTCTAATAATATGAGGATCATCTCACATCTTGTTAAATTTACAATGACCAATAAAATAACATCATATGTTATCACATCTTGAAATTCTATCTTTAGAATTGTACAAACTTCTTGTTGTGGCTTACAACCATCAACATCGTTGAATTTAAATTCAAAGTTTGAGTTGGAATCAACGTTCCAAATCATGAATTAGGTGAATCACTGAGATTACCTATTATTTCGTTTAACACAAAATAATTCCAACAATAAACCAAAATTATTTTTATTTATTTATTCAATCAACATAATTTAGTCATGAACTAAAATTCTGAAACAAACAAGTAACAGAGTCATTACTTACCATGGTTTCTATTAATAGAAATCTTATAATTCTGTTACGTGACAAAATTAAAATCTCAATTTATTTTTTAAGTACGAAATCAAATATTCCAATAAGCAGAAAATTAATTCTCGTTTATTTTAGATTTTGTTATCGAACATAATCAATATTCTGAAACAAAATCAGTAACTGCAGTTACTTTTACGACAATTTTTGTTACACATATTTGTCCACTTGAGATTATAGTAAACCCGTTAAGACGAAGAGATAAATCCCTAAACAAATTTGTTTACTATCTCGTTTTCCCACAATTCCGAATTATCTCGGATCAAGAAAGGTAGAATATGAGAAATAATCTGCTTAAGATTGTTATCCGAGAGTAACAATCCGAGATAATAATGGAACCTTTATAAACAAAAGAAAGAATCAAATTCTTTATAAATAAAAGAGAATCAAAAGGAAATAAAATACTCTTTATATTTGATCTTGTGATCGGAACCAATTGAGGCCTGTCACTACACAGTTTCCTTATGATAGACTTTCGGCTACTCCTTGGTGCTCGAAATCTTTTAGTCGTCTGTCTCCCATGATACGACAACTTGATGATCAACTACAATAACACAACAATAGAGATCACAAACTTTTCTTGCCTTCAACTATCACCGAAAAAACTAAGGGATAAAAGAATATTTTCTAAGAATGAGAGAGAAAATATTTCTAAGAGAATAAAACTTCTTGAATTCTGAGATGTGTAAAAAACTGAGATGTTTGCTTAATATTTATTGGGGAATTTTGAGAGAGTTTTACTCCATCTAAATCTCTTTTAATATTTAAATTTAAAAAGATAATAATATATTTGAAATTTAAAATATTAAATATGATAGATTTACTCTAACCATATATCTTTTAATATCTAAATTTAAACAGATAATAATATCTTTTAAATTTAAAATATTAAACAAATTTACACTTCTTCAAATTATATAAATATTATTTAATTTATAAAGGACTCTGAATTTAATATAAATATTAAATTTATCAGTGTAATTCACCATATTTTTCCAATATTTTGATGAGATAAAAGATTAATCTAATTTTTCTAAAATATAATAGGGAGGGGAGAACTTTTACAAAAGTAAAAAAGAAAAGAAAAAGATAAACTACATGTTCAATACTTCAACTATTATTTTTGTTCTGTTTTGGTCTCTCAATTATTTTTTTCAAAATCTTATCTAACGTTTAATTTTGATTTCACATTTATCACATGTCATTAACGGCACTACTAATATGTTATCATAAGATAATACCACATCATCATTAAAAAAGTAAAAGAAAATAACACATCAACAATTTTGTTAATTTTTTAACTGTGGTTGATCAAAATAAAATCAAGATGTACCGATAAGTATGGTTTTGAAAAATAATAGTTGGGTGACCAAAACAAAATAAAAACGATAGTTGAGGTACTAAACATATAGTTTATCAAAAAGAATTTACAAGTGTTATTTTCAGTAAGCTTGTGTTCCTATATTTGAAATTAGAAAAAGAAAGTGAGCATATACTATGTTTTTTCTGTTATTACAAATATATAAAATTTAAAACACAACACTGAACAAATACTGCTAAGGTTTCCAAGCCAAAAACAAAAGCTTCAGAGAGCATCTAAAAGAATTCCAGACCCAAGTTCCATTCTCTTCTTGTTTTGGGGTACAAAGGCGGGCTCGGAATGGATTGCAGAAACTGAGATTCGAACTCCAGACTTGCATAATACCACATGAACTTATTTACGCTAAAGCCCGGGTTCAGTTGTACTTTAAGAATCTTGGAAAAGCACCATTGGTAGCCTCTTATAGACCAAAATGATAATGGTCCATGGTTTGTCATAAAGTGTTTTTCACATCTATGTTCAGAGAGCAGCCTCATACATATTAATGGAGAGAATATTTTGCTGATGCATATTAATTGTATATGGAGTTTGACTTCATTGCTCTGTCAGTTTCAAGTTATAACCTTCAGAGCTCTACGAGGCCCTTTTCAAGTTTATATATCTAACCAACTGAAAATGCTCTACCTTGATGTTACCTGCTGTTAGCATGTTCTTATGAGCTTCGGAGTCCATGACCAAACAAACTTTTCACCACTTCTGAAATTTATAACCCTTCTTTTACGTGCCCTTCCAGTTTCTGTAGAAGCATCCTTCAATGGCGGTTCGGGAGTTCCGGATTCTGCTGCCTCCACAATCCGGTTCACCATTTCTAACACCTCGCTCATCTTAGGGCGTGACTTTGGGTTCCTGACTAAGCATCTGTTGGCCACAACCGCAAGCCTTTGAGCTGACTTGAGCTGGTATTTCCCTTTAAGTCTAGGGTCCAATATCAACTGGAATTTCCTATGAGATAGGTATGGCTTCACCCATTCCAAGAGCCTTTGCTCATTCTTGGGGAGCTTATTGTCTAAGGGACGTCTGCCAGTAATGAGTTCGTATAGGAAAACCCCGTAGCTCCACACATCAATCTTAGATGTCAATCGTCCAGTCTGAATGTATTCAGGAGCTGCATATCCTATTGTTCCAACAGCCTGTCAAATATCACCAGTTTGATGCATATAAGGATTGATGAATAAATATTGAAGTAAACCAATGACACTAGCAAGTAACTTTGACTGCATAAACTGAACATTAACACCTAACAAAGAAACAAAAACCATTTTTCCTCGTTTAAATTGAGACTAACCCGGTTGTGTTTTCAATTACCAAAGAGCAACCTTCTTCTATCTTTAAAAGGATGAAACTAACAATTTGTTTCAGATACGCTCTTGAGGCAAATACAACATCTAAACTGATCGAATGCATTAGATTCATGAAAATTAGAACCTTTAGGAGGTTTTAATCATTAAAACACACACCTAGAGATGAAAAGAAAATTCAAAATGAACACAGACTAAAAAGATACACTTCAAGTAGGGCAGTTTGCCTGAACATACCGCTGTCGAGACATGAGTTAATCCTTCTGAAGGGCCCAACCTGGCTAATCCAAAGTCCGACAGCTTTGCATTCCATTGCTCGTCTAGAAGAATATTAGATGATTTAAAATCCCTGAAGATGATCTGTAGTGAAATACGATAAGTAAACCTATATTAGTATCATGCCAAATAGTCCGAATTTTTTTTATTTATAATTTTTTGGTTGTAACTACAAAGACCTTCTCCGTGGAAGGGGATTTCAGGGAAAGGTATTTAAATAAGTACAATGCAATACCAATGATATCTGAAATGGGGAGTTAAACACAACATACCTGGAAATCCATTCCTTCATGCAGGTATGCTAACCCACGAGCTGCATCTTGGGCTATTTTCAATCTCATCGCCCAGGAAAGAGTTGTCTCTGACCGGGCAGATAAATGATTTTCCACACTTCTATTGGGCATATATTCATATATCAAAAGCCTTTGGATTCCTCTTTCATCATCTTCAGCACAGTAACCCACTAGCTTTACAAGATTAGGATGCTCAACCACACCAAGGACATTTACTTCGGTCACCCACTCCTTATGTCCCTGCCAATTAGAAGTTGGGATGTTAAGCTTATAAAAGTTGCTGGTTCTCAGCTCAACATCACAAGAGGCATTTTGTTTTTTACAGCAATTTGCATGAATGCATCATAGGCATTAAATAGAATCCATAAGCAAGGAAAAATATATCCAAATGCAGTAGTACAAACATCAGAGCTAATGAAATCAATGCATGCATCATAGGCATTAAACAGTGTCATAAACAAGGAAAAGTATATTCAAATGCAGTAGTACAAACATTGGAGCTAATGAAATCAATAATTTTAGGAAAAACATAAACTTTTCGTCCAGTTCAACCTGTTATTAGAAATTTATTTCTACCAAGTTATTAACAGTCGCAAGATAATGTTCCAGGCCATAAAGTTGAATTCAATGGATTTGGATTAACCCTGCAGATTTTATCAACAAGGAAGATCACCAGAAATACAAAAAAACTAGGATGTAACCAGTTTTCTACAGGGCCAAGACACATGAATATGCATATGATATCGAATGTCTCAACTGTAACGGCTCAAAATATAAACCACTCTACCTACGGCATTTCAAAAGTTGAATGCATATAAGGCATAATAATTCAGAAGAGGAACTTCCAATATGTTTTTAAGTGAAGGAACCTTGCCTGCAACCCCCTTTTGCCGAGCTGTTTCACTGCTACTTCAATCTTTTGAGATGAGTCTTCGGGACTCTTGATAGAACCCTTGTAAACACACCCAAACCCACCCTCTCCAAGCATGAAAGAGCGACTAAAGTTCTTGGTGGCAGATTTAAGCTCAGAAACTGTGAATACTCTTAGATTGCTAGGTCTTTGAGACATGCTAGGAAAAGAGGACCGCCCCATGGACTCTGTGCTGACGTCTGAGACATTCTGGGAATTTAATTCAGATCCAGACCGTGCTATTTCACGATCAGTACATGTAGAATTCATAGAACGATTCGAAACTGATCCAGGGGTCTTTGGTTCATCTTTTTTATACCATTTGGGGAATGTAAAACACTTCATAGCCCTCAAAGATTTAACACAAAAATTTTCCACTATGCAAATCCGGATGCAAGGAAGAGATAGATATGATCAAGCAAAACAAAGATTACCAACACAACCTGCAAAGTCAAGAGTTAAATATAAGGGGAAAAAGTTCATTTCTGCAGAAGAAAAACAATACCTAAGTTACACAATGAACAACAAATTCCAAGGAAGACTCAAATTCTCAAGGGAGGTGAAAATGCACAAATCAATATCATACATAACGAAAAGGCAAGTAAATAAATAAAGGGAAGAAAAAGATTCTAAATTCTAATAATTCCAAGGTCCTAGGCTTTAGAGCACTTTTATGAACAACCAAAAAACAACATTTTTGGATCATAATCAACAGGCAAGAAAAATAAAGGCAAAAGAATCGGGATCGGAATCTCGGCTTCTTGATTTCGGAACAAATCATTATTAAGACTAACTAATCCGAAGTAGAAGACAAAATTGAAGAACTTGCCTTTGGTCTCACCTTCAATTATACTGTTTGGAAAGGCAGAAATTAGGCTAACAAACATGAAAAATCTCCCAAATTTAAGCATTTTAAGAAAACCCCATTAGTCCAATCCTTCAAAAGGACATGAAAAAATGCTTCGAATTTACGGAAGAGCAGTGTTTAATTCTATAAAAGAAGTCTGAGCACGGCAGCTGAGCAGCAGGGGCAACAAGTCATACGACCAACCAAAATTCAGTAAAAACAAAATCACAAAAAAACGATGGAAAAACTATTGCAAGTTCACAGAAGTGAAGCGAAGCTAGTTGGTGTGAACGGGTAATCGAGATTACGGAAAAAAGAGGCTTTTTTTGTTTTAGCGTTTAACTGGGGAAGAAACTTCATGTTTCCGTGAAGCTTGGTTAGAGTCATCCAAGTCAACGTGGTCATGAATACGAACTTTTGTAATTATTGCCTTCCATACATTATCTTTGAGCTACCTCAAATCATTTCTTTTTATCCGAATATACCATTTTTTTATTTTTTATACATTTTAAATTTAATTTTAATTTAGAGAAGAAATAAAAATATCCTATAAGGTCTAGAATTAATCACCTAAAAGAAAATAAGAAAATAAAAATGATAACTTGATCAACCAATAAAATATATTTATCCATTATTTTCTAAAATAAATTGTCTCAATAATGTTTATTTTTAATTATTTATTAAAATAATTGTCACTGTTCGTTCCGCCTACAGCCACTACTAGAGATACTCCGGTACTCCCCATCCCATTTGAAAGCTTGTCTGATCTCTCCCAGTCCCTAAATGCGTCAGGGCGTTCCTTTGGCTGATCATCAAGGACCGCATCTTAACAAACAATGAAAGGTACCAACGAGGCTTAACCCCATATCTCTTGCGCCCTCTGTGTGGTATTCAGGTAGAAACTACCGCTCATGTTTTGCGTGACTGTCCCGCTGTGAAGACCGCTTGGGAAAATCTCGTCCCTACAACCTCCACACAACAGTTCTTTTTTGTCCCAATCCATGATTGGATCAGCTCCAACCTTGCCTGTGCCGCATCCATCATCGTCTTGAGCTGCCCCTAGAAGGTACTTTTTGCCACGGTTCTGTGGCAAACTTGGAAAAGGAGGAACTCCTTCATTTTCACGGATTCCTGCCACACCATGGAAGATGTCGTCAATCTCTGTTTATCTTGATCAGTTAGCTTTGCTACCACCCGGGTTCCTGCAGCGGGGACGACGAATCGTCAGGAGAAGCAGATCAAGTGGATGCCTCCACCAGTTGCTTGGTACCGCCTCAATTAGGACTCTGCTGTAGCTTCCATCACGGGGACAGCTCTGTTGGTGGCACTGTTCGTACTAGTGATGGTTCATAGGTCGTTGGTTATCATAAAGCTATCGGTATTTCCTCCCTACTCCATGCCGAGCTTTGGACCATTTACATTGGTTTACAGGCTTAGGATCTATGAACTGTTGCAGGTGCAAGCGGATAGCTTGCAAGTTGTTAGCCTTCTTAAGGATTATGGAGCGACCGATCTATTGTGAAAATCGGGTTATTTCTCACACGAACGTAGTTTTAAAATTGACCTAATATGTCAATATCAAAACCACCAAAAGTTACACAGCGAATAAACTTGTCAAACTATTGAATATTGAAATACAATAGAAAAAACCGAATAAAAACAATAAAGGAGAAAACACATTAAATTTACGAGGTTCGACGAGAATATCGTCTACTCCTCGGCCACCACACCGGATGATAATTTCACTATATCGCCAATATTATAACAAATGGAATTTCTTTAGAATTCTCAAAGTGTGAGAATGAAGAATATAAGAGGAAGAGAGAACTTGTTTTTGGGATGATTTCTAATGAAATACTTAGACCTATTTATAGTTGAGTTTTAAGGACTAAACTTATAAATAACCTAATGTTTTAGGGATCAAACATGAAAAATAAGTTCACCTACCAAAGAATTTTCTAATGTGTACAAGTTAGCCACCAAATATAAAATTCTCATATTCAAAATTTGGCCACCAACTAAGATAAAATTTCCAACTTATCAATTTAATTTCAAGCTAAATCTAACACAATCATCCGCTCCTACTTGTTCGTGCTATTTCTTTGCTCAGCTCTTGTGGTTGGTTTCTGGAGTTCTGCTGGACAATCTCCCTCGCGATTACATGGTTCGCACGTTTGATTCACCGCTGGTCTCCATTAAACCTCTCGTTGATAGGAATATCAATGACACAAGCTAGGTCAAACAACAAAAACACGTGTTAATTTTATCTTTATTTATTCAATGAATTCATATTTCAAAATCTATATTTAAAAATTTGAACAAACTAATAAGTAATTAATGTAAAATTTGATTAATATAAATCACACATTGGTTAATTTTTTTAATTATTTAAATACATCCTTTCAACATATTATCATTAAGTGATTGAAAATAATACTCGCGTATAGAGATGCACAGAAGCCGGATTTCAATCCAATTCGGATCGGATAAAAACCGATCCGGTTTTTTCCCCCAACCCAAAAACCGGATTTTAAAAAAACCGGATCGGATTCTAACCGGTTTGGAGGGCCGGATGGTGTAATCGGTGTAACCGGTTTCGGTTTGCAAAAAAACCGGATTTTTTCGGATAAAAATCCAGTTTTTTTAAAAAACCGGATTTTTTTCCGGATAAAAAACCAGTTTTTTATCCGGTTTGAAAAAAACCGGTTTTTAATCCGGTAAAAAAACCGGTCGTTCAATTTTTTCCCAAACCGATTATACTATCCGGTTTTTAAATATCCGATCCGGTAAAAAAAACCGATTTTTCCAAAAACCGATTTCAGATATTTTTTAGACAAAATCAGATATTCGAATTTTTTGTGCACCTCTACTCGCGTATCATCGTTCAGTTTATACTCGTTCTAATTCATATCTTTGCACCGCACGTACTTCTTCTTCCGAGAAAATTTATATAATCTTTTTATTGATTTTTTTCCAATTTGATCGCACCATTCCAACATATCTATTGTCACATAAAATAAAAATATGCCCCACTAGCTATGATTTTAAAAATACACGTATGATGTGGTGTGACTTTCAAATATAATATGATATGATGTGCTTTCTCGTGTGTGGCAATGAAAGTATAATATCTCTAAATTTGATAGATTAATTTTTTTTTTAAATTGTGGCTATATGAAATAACGTATACCTATCGAATTGTGACTATATAATATCTCTTTATTTTCTCTTTTTCATATAAAATCTAAATCACTACATTTTATCTATAAAAAAAATTAAATTTGTTGACCCTATTCCCATATGTAATGGGATAGGAGGAGGTAGGATAGTAGATTGTCCCCAACGTCAGGTTGAGAGTAGCTTCCGTGAGAGACCTCTGCAATTAGAATTATGAATTGTCCATCGTAGGTCTCGATCCCACGACCACAAAATTAAGAGCCTTACGCTCTTACCAACTGAGCTGGACGGACAATTCATTTTATCTAAAAAGTAAAATCTAAATTATGCATATTCTTTTTAAATATTTAAATTAAAAATGCTAACATCTAAATATACTTAAACTCGTCAATCATCATCTTCCAAAATAAATAAAACCCTACTAAGAAATGTATCCCACAATAACGTAAATAAACAATTAAATGATGTGGACATAAATATTTATTATTAAATAGTTAAAAAGTAATTTCAAACATATATTATTTTATATTAATCTTAAATTAATAAAAAAAATTAATGACATGCAGAGCATAGAGCATCTCAAAGGCAACATAGAACATGGCATCATCACATCCCATGTTGCGTTGTTGGGGCTAACACAGGCTGACAGAAACTTTCCACCCAACACATGACTTTGTCTCATTCACTCATTCACATGACTGTTTCCTCTATCCCTCATTTTCATGACCTAAAAATAGATCTTTTTTGTCTGATAATTAATTAATAATTAAATTCCGAGTTTATTCGAATTGATCCTTTAAGTGTACAAAATTTCTATCGCCATTCTCTTCTTTCTGCCCCTACTAGAACGTTAAATCTTATTTAATATAAATCAAATTTCTTATCACACTGAGTGCGATAAAAAAAAATGAGAATTTCGGAATTTCACAAATGACATGATTTGTGCTATATTAATTGGATAAATATTATATTTTCGAGATAAATATTTAAATTTAAACTTATACAAAACACACGTACCCACAACAACAAAACAAGTCATGTTTAAGGCTATCTTGTAAAGAAATAATATCATTTCCATCAATGGAAGCTGCAAGGAGTTTTCTCTATTCCCCTCCATCTTTTTCCACGAGAATCCAACTCAAAAGTTCCAGCTTTTTATCACCGTCTTCTTCAGGCAAGATTTACTTTCTTTTTTGTTTCTAATTATTAGTAAATTACCCACGTTTCAGCTTTTATATCTACTTGTTTTGTGCCTGTAGTATTCACACATGTATAAATTGTTAAATTGACTTTCTTGGGCTTTTCTTCTTGAAGTAATTTTGTTTCTGTTATAGTTGGTGTTAGTGTATGTGATGTATGCATGTATCTCGTATGCATGTGTGAAGTACGTGAGGAGACTAGAGTTGTTTGGATTTAACAAACTTCTCTCTCTCCTCTAACGTTCTTTCCCTCTAACGTCATTTCCCGCTTTTATAATTCCCTCTCTTCTTTGTGTATAAAGGAGGCTTGAGCCATTAATGTAAAGGTATGCATTTACAAATGAATGAAGAAATGAGTACATGGTTTTTCTTTATTCATTGAGTGTTTTTTAGTTACTGAGTTACTTTGATACTTTAACATGGTATCAGTCGCCAGGATTGGGAGTTCAATCATTGCTAGTTTGTTACTGCTCGTGGTTGTGTATGATGGAGATCTCCTCTGTTCAGCATATTCCCAAATAAGATGTGGTCAAGCTTTATGAGAATACCTATTTACTATGGAAGCATCATGTATCTCTCATTATTGATGGTTATGGATTACTTTGGTTTATTTCGGATGAAGGTGGGCCTCATGTGGCGGTTATAACGACGGAGTCCGGACATGTTGAGGATAATCCGGCGTTCATTCTTTATCAATAACAAGATAAGTTGTTAGCATCATGGTTACTTACTACTGTCAGCACTGAAGTATTACCACATCTCACTGGACTCACTTCAGCTAATACTATTTGGACTACTATTTCACGCTTGTTTGGTGCTCGATCAAGTGCCAATGTATCGTCGCTTCGGCATAGTCTTCACTCTCAACGTAAAGTTGTGTTGAGTTAATCGATCGAAGGAATAGGCCAAGAAGGGGGTAAATTGGCAATAAAATTTTTGATGGAAGCTTTTGCAGAAAATTGAAAATATTTGCACATCGATTTAGAATGGTTCGAGTTTCTCAACCAAAGTCTACGTCCACTACCTTAGCTATCCACACTAAGGATTTTCCACAAATTCACTAATTTGTCTTTCTTTTGAGGACAAAGAGTAACCTTACAAAACCCTCAAGAATTATACCCCAAATTCTTGAGAACACTCTCTCCCAAAGAGAACAATACAAATTTTGCAAACTTACAAGAAAATCCTCACAAGGCAAGATGTTTGCACAATTCTAGAACAAAGAAAGAACACTCAAGAATAATACAATTGAGCACAATAAGTGTTCTTGAAAGCAAAAATGAATATTGAATGAAATAGGCTTGAAAATGCACAAACTTGAGGTTTGATGCTTTCTCTTTGATTCTCTCTTGATTCTTGATAATTGTTGTTGATCAATGGCTCCAAAGCTTGTTTAAATACTTCTTGGATCATTTCTGAACGTTGGGGATCATTAGTGGAGTCAATAGAGTCGTTATTGTGTGAACACAATTAATAAAACAACTTGGAGCGTTGAGGGGGTATCAGTACCCCTGCATAGGGTATCGGTACCCTGCTGTGTAAAATTCAAATATTTTGACCGTTATAAGATGGGGGTATCGGTACCTCCTGGGGGGTATCGGTACCCTCCGAGCAATCTGTTATTTCTCGGAGCCAAATCTTATATGGGGGTATCGGTACCCTCTGGGCAATCTGCCTTCTCGGTTTAATATTTATTAAGAAAATATTTTTGGCTCGATTAAGGCTCGAAATACTTTGTAAAATTGTTTAAAAGATAAAAACACATTTTCACACTTGAGTATTGATATTTGAAAAACTTGGAGTAATATTTTAATATTCGAAAGGTTTAATCGAATATATATTAGAAAATGATTAGAAAATCTTGAAATCCAATAACATTTAATTTGTTATATCAAAACAACAAAATGTTTTCAACAATCTCCCCTTTTTGATATAACAAAACATTTGAGCAATTTTAAGATTTTCTATGAAAATAATTTTTGAAATCAAGTTTTGAAATTACTCCCCCTTATTCTAATATTTCTCCCCCTTTTTGTTAAATCAAAAATTGATCGATTAAGATAAAGCTTAAGCTGCTAAGATCACAATCAAGAGAAATGTTAGCCATTAGTTCCATAATTCAATATTCAAAAATAATGTGAAATGGTAAATTGGTCATATTGCAACTATAATGTAAATCATGCAAAAACATTAAACCAAACCAAATAAATATAAGCATTCAAAGTTAAACATTCAAACAAAAAAAAAACATTCAATCCAAAAACATTAAAATGTTTAACAAGTCAAAGTTCTAAATCTGAAGTTCAGTCTTAAGAAAAATCGAAACTAGGCAAGGTCTACTCCATTGGAGGATCAGGATGAGATAGATGTGTCCATATATTAGCCACATCTCGTGTAAGCGCATCGAGTATATCGTCTATAGCATTGAATCGAGTATTCATTGCTTCACGGTTTGCTCGAATCTCTTGTTGATTCTCTAATTGTTGAGCTCCCATTGCGGATAAATGAGACTCTATGGATGTAAACCGTGAATCCATGGATGCATATCGAAAGTCGAATGTCTTAAAAAAAGATCGAAAATATGGATGCATTTGATCCTCTTGTTGTACTTGTTCCTTGTGTTGCTCCGACTCAACGTCGGGAACTCCGTCAATGTCTTGCATCAACTGTTGAAGTTCAGGATCCGTCCCCTCCCGGTGCTGGTGGAGCTCTTGAAGAACTAGCTCCCGGTGTATGCTTAGCAGATCGAACCCATTGCCTGGTTTTCTTATCCTTTATCCATCCCGGTTTTGTTAAAGAAATTAGATTAATTTGATTTTTGAGAGGGATGGCGGCATCAAGGCTTACCCTAAGCTCGACTTTGGCAAACAGATTATTTAAAAGACAACCGTAAACTAGAGATGAACAGAGTTTCTTATTAGCGACAAGGTTTATGGTTTCAACAATTTCAGCAAAGATAATCTGAGGTAGGTTAATTTTATTATTGTTTTGGATACAATGTATCCACCAAAGATCTAGAGCTCTAAGAGTGGAGTATTTTCCTCCGGGTGGTCGAAACCACCAAGAGATCATCAGATGAAGGAAACGATCATGGAGATCTAATACACTCGCACTCTCCTTTCTTTTATAAGGAGTACCTATCGTTTGTTTTTCATTTTCTAAGCCGACATTATCTAATCCAAATGCACGAGCAATGTATCCCGGGTCAATATAGATGAATTTTCCTAGAAGGTAGGATCTAATTCCTAAGGTTTCAATTTTATCCCGGTTTTGGACACAAATGGCATTGGAATAGAAGATTCGAACAAGTTGATGATAAACTATTGGTTCGAGTTCAAAAATTTTATCAAATTTCCACTCTCGTAGGGTAGGAAGATATCTAAAATCTATTTCTAACATAGCTCGAAGAGATGGAATTTGTCCCTCCCGAATTTTGTATGACTCAAAATATTGAGAATACCTGAAGAAGAGATTTTGTCTACGACCAGGTCTATTGAAACACGAATCACGAATAGTCATATTAGGATCATCAGGATTAGGAATTTGTTGGATAGGAGGTGGATTTAGAGGTGGGTTTGGCAGTTGGTTTGAACGACTAAAGGATGTTCTAGGGCATTTTTTAGACATGATTTAGGAAATCGGAATAGAAAAGATTAACCTACAATTTTAAAACACATGTATACAATAATATCAATCCCAAAACTCAAATGAGTCCTCATTATTTCAAGGTTCTCTAAAGTAATCTTAATGGGCAATTTTTGAAAATCGAGTTTGAAAACAAGGTTTGAAAATCAATATATGTATAAATTTTTATGAAAACAACATAATTAAATCAAAAACTACAATTTAAAAACAAAACCCAATTTATTTATTTTTTTCCGAAAATTTTAAAAAAAAAATCTTGAAAAATCTTGTGCTTTTTGATGAAATTAGTTGTAGATTATAGTTCTAAACCAAAATCTAAGCAATGCCCAATGTTTATTTTAATCTAGAACTAATTAAAACTAGTCATATGTTCAAGATTAATAAAATAGTGGGTTTAGAAAAATTACCTTGAAAAGTGAAGATTGAGTAGATTTTGATGTTGTTTGCACGAAATTAATGAAGCTAGCTGGTTTAGAAATTGAAAACTGAAGTAATTATGACTTGTTTTTGACGATTTTGGAAAAAATGGAGATTAGAGAGTAAGAGAGGAGGCGCACGACATGTAGAGAGAAGAAAGGGTTTTGAGTGAAAGTGTTATTTTGGGCGTTTAAAAACCAGACCCCGTGGAGGATATCGGTACCCTCAAGGGGGTATCGGTACCCATCCAAGGGGGTATCGATACCTAGCCCAGAAAAATCTGTGTTTAAACACTCACAAAGCTAAACATTTTGTTCTAGTGGTATTGGCAACTCATATTATGAAAATTAACAATGTTCAATTAATGTAAATATATCCTTAAACATTATTTGAACATATAATTAATTCTCACTAAGAATCATAAACTCCCCCTAACTAATAGCAAAGGATGCAATCAAAAGTTTTATTTTTATAAGCATTTTCCAAAACTAATTAAAAGTGTTAAACTTATTTTAAACACTAAGTCAAGGTAGGTTGGTCAAACCTAATTCTCTCCTAAGTGTCCAAAATCTTTCTTTATCTAAAGGTTTTGTAAAGATATATGCTAATTGGTGCAAAGTATCAACATATTCTAGAACTATATCTTCTTTAACGACATGATCTCTAATGATATGATGTCTAATTTCAATGTGCTTAGTTCTAGGGTGTTGGATGGGATTTTTAGTGAGACAAATAGCACTAGTATTGTCACACTTGATAGGTATATTACGTACTTCAATTACATAATCAAAAAGTTGTTGTTTCATCCATAAAACTTGTGCACAACAACTACTCGCTGAAATATATTCCGCTTCAGTGGTAGATAATGCAACACAATTTTGTTTCTTTGAAAACCAAGAAATCAACATATT